TTTTTAAATTTTAATTATACATTTTATCATTAAAAAACAAAAAGATTTTTTAACTTGTCACAAAGAGGTTAAGTGTTATTAATTAAAGTATTTGTAATTAAAATTTTGCACAAAAATTTGTGTTATATTTAGAACGAAACACAGTAGGAGCACATTATATTGGACTTTGCCATGGAGATCTTACGCATTTATGGGACTCATCGTAATTCGTAAAAGTGGAGGTGAAGTTTTTTGCTGTTTACCACGTACAGCAACTGCAGTAGTTTGAATTTAGGAGATTTTCCGGATCATGCATTCAAATTGGATGTCTGTGAGTGTGTCTGTTTTTTTTTTTTTTTTTAGGATAAGATATCTTATGAATTATGATTATTCCCTCAACAGCACCATGAACGGTAACACAACCCCTCAATCTTCAGAGAAAAGGCTACCAATGCAAAATTTACATCACCATGTTAGAAGCTAAATTTGATATAGTTGCCTTGCTTCATACCCAAGTCATCACCGCCATGTTAAATACAAATCAGCACTCTTTACTACCCTGCACATTTGTATTGCTTTCAACAAAGCATCCCAGCAAACAGGTACATTTTGTCTATAGCCTTCAATGTCCCTCACTATAACTTCCTTCACCCTAAAAGAAAGCCGCCAACAGTTAATCTCACAAGAACTACTGCAGCCACCATCTTCTCTGCCATTCAACGTCTTGCATAGGAACTGTTATGCATGCAAATAAACCAAAGAAAGAATCAGTACCATGAAAATTCAAAAATAAAGCACAATTGTTTGGGTTTAGGCAACTGTTGAAGAAGAAACGGAAGGTATGGATTGGAGGTAATCTAAAAGTTTTCTAAACAAAACATCTCTTGATTTCTAACACCAAGCAGTCTTGTATTAAACCAAATACAAATGTTTATTTGTGTTATCTCATTGAGTATCACAATGCAAACATCACGGATTTATAGAAATGAAAGTACACATACCTCTAAAAAACATTTTTCCCCATGCTGGATATGTGAAAATGAAAGGATCAAGATCAGTTGTCCCATGTGTAATTTTATGAATAGTTTTTTTAACTGAGGCCTTAAAAAGAAAGAATACTTTTGTAGTATTAATTGTCATTTAAAGAATAAAATTTCTTATAAAAAAATAAAATTTAACATTTATTTATTGTTTAATTAAAATGATACATATAATATTAATGTTAAAATTACTATTAATTTTTAAATTTTTTATTTAAATTAATATCAAAATCTGTATTGATTACACTCTTAACATGTACTTTAAGATACAAAATAGATAAATCTTTTTATAAATTACCAATAAAGAATCAGACTCCAATATGATCCGCATGTACCCTTTTTCCCATGCCAATCTAAACCTTTGAGAATAGTATACAATTCTGCTCGAATGGCATGACCAGTTCCCAGTTGAATATTAAATTCAAACTGCCATAACCCAGCCGAATCTCTGCATATGCCTTCTGCCGAGGACAAGCCTGGAGATGCCAGAAAATAACCATCCACATTTATTTTTAAAGTTTCTGGAGAGGTGGTTTCCTTACTTTTTGTTATTTAGAGACTAAAAATTAAATTTTAAATTTAAACCTATAATTAAAAATAAATATAATTTTATTATCAAATCATATAATTGATGGTATCTTCACTTACTAATGCTAAACGGTTTCAGCCTGAGTATGGAGTAGTACTTATTTGGCATGCATCCTAAAAGAGGTGGTTATTGCCACCATAAAAAAATAAAGACACCAATATTTCAATTTTTTCTTTAAATAGTGTTTAAAAATATTAATTTATTATTTGACTTTAATTTAATTTATGAAGTACTCTCTTTGTTTATTTTTTGTAGATTTAATTTTTTTATCTAATAAAATAAAAATATAATAATTTATTGATAAAATTTCATATTTATTTCTAATTAAGTTTATTGAGATAAGACTTCTTATTTAATAGATATTGTAATTA